GTAAGAAACCTGGACTTTTTGACGACGTCCTCCAGTATCTTCGAAAATCTGCAGCGGCTTGGGCTTCGTGACTGCGTGCGAGTGCAACTGGTGCGAACCGGCCAATACAGACCGGATAAGATGTGTTCCGCATTCCTATCCTTCAAGTCTCAGGAGGCACTCCTCGCCGCTACACAAGCCTTAAATGGGGTACGTATGTGCTCCCGACACCCGCTTGCAGTGTCGCAAGCCAATGCCCGGCAAGGGCATCCTTCTATGTCGGCGGGCATCGGGGCAAAACAACCAGCAGCAGCACCTCCTCCTCGAGCACGTCCTGCCGCTGCTGCTGCTGGCCCATGTTTATATGGTGGTGGTGGTGGCAGCATTTCTTCTGGCAGCCAAGTTTTTTTACCTGGTGGTGGGAGGCCAGCAGTGCCTCGTGGTGTGGTGGCGCCTCCTCCTCGCCGCCCTCGGCCTCCACAGCAACCGCCGCCACCATGGTGGAGGCGGCTTGCTGGGTAGTAGTAGTAGTAGTCGTCGTAGTAGTAGTAGTAGTAGTAGTGTGGGTGCGGTATAGTACCAGCAGCAGCAGGACACAACAGCCAGCGGCTCCGCCGGCGAAAGCGGCTGAGGAATTGAATCCGGATGGCACTAGTAGTAGTTGTAGTAGTAGTTGCAGCATTACTACTACCAACTATTACTACTAGTACTAGTACTACTACTACTACTACTACTACTACTGCTACTACTACTACTACTACTACTACTACTATTACTACTACTTCTACTACTACTGCTACTACTCCTACTACTACTTCTTCTAGTCCCCCACCCAAGGCCAAAAACGGCGAAGTCGCAGCCGAAGCTTCTTCCCGAAGGGAAGAAGCAGCCGCTGCTGCCCTCGAATCCGGGCTGCAAACAAATAGTACTACTACTGTTAGTAGTAGTAGTAGTGCTGTAGTAGTAGTAGTAGTAGTAGTAGTAGTAGCAGAAGCAATAATAGCAGTAGTACCAGTAGCAGTGGTAGTACCATGGCAACAAAACCCCCGAGGCCACCACCCTATCCACCCCCCGCGGCGGCGAAGAATCTGGACGGCAAGCTGTTTATTTTTATACTTGTTGCAGAGATAAGAATACTTTGAGAGATCTTTCCAGGGATACTGTGAGAGATCGTTTTTAATAAAGCTACTCCGAGGGATGCTTGGAGAGACATTTTGAATGAGCCTTTGAGGGATACTTTGAGGGTGCCTGTGGAGATGCTTTAAGAAGACATGAGGGGTACTGTGAGGGGTCTTACTCCGAGGAGGGATGCTGGGCCTGTGAGGGATACTTTGAGGGTGCTTTGAGAGATGCTTTAAGAAGACATGAGGGGTACTTTGAGAGATCGCTTGTTATATTAAAAGCCAATGTGCATGTGTGTGTATATACATGTATATATTTATATGTGTATAATATGTGTTTGTGTATATACCTATGTATCTCAAAGCCTCTTTCAAAGTATTTCTCCAAGCACCCCTCAGAGTAACCCAGTCTGCGAGGAGACCCTGGGCCTCCTAGTAGTATTACAATAATGTGTAACATATATATATATATGTTACGGAAACATGTATTCATGTGCATATATACATTGATGAGGGTGCCTTTAGAGATTCTTTATTAAGAAGACATGAGGGCTACTTTGAGAGATTTGAGAGATCGTTTTTATATTCAAAGCTACTCCGAGGGGTGCTTGGAGAGATACTTTGAGAGATCAGAGCTGCTCGGAGGGATACTACTTGGAGGGACGACAATATGATTTCCTCATTATTATTATCCCCAAGACTAGTAGTACTAGAGCTAATCTGACGGGAAGTACTTGCCTGGGACTTCGACGGATACTTTGAGAGATAACAATAAAACACACTCGTATCAATACTGTGTGGGATGCTCGGAGAGATAAGAAGGTATAGGAGACAATCAGCTTCTGAGGGATACTTGGAGGGATGCTTCTTGGAGAGATAAACTGGAAGATATCGGAGGGATAAAACCCTGAGGGAGTTTTTCAGTGAGCTTTTGAGAAATGCATCATGCTTTTGTGCGGGGTGCCGTCCTTTCTCGACCAAGGCTTGGAGGAGCTGCCCATGCTGGTGGCCATGGAGGTGAATATGTTTTTCTGGATGGTGGTCGTGACTATGGAGGACCTCCTATTAAAAAACAAAAGCGGGCCGAGGAGAAGGAGGCCGACGACACGGAGGAATCATCCGACGACGACAACAGGACTCGCTTTGGCCAGGACGAGGACACCGCCTTTGCTGCTGCTGAGGACGACGACAACAAGACGATATTGCCCGAGGGGGGCCCTATTATTGATGAGCTGGACATGTCCGAGCTCGACACGATGATTCTAGCAGCCTCGCGAGAAGCCAGGAAAACAAGGTCCCGTCCGGAGTGAGTGTCGTGCATGATCAGAGCTGCAAAGCATTGTTACCGTGAGTTGTGACGAAGAAAGAAGAGAGTTAGAAGTGTTACCTTTGGAGATATCAGGATAAAGCCAAATGTCATAGACACAAAGACAAAACATATGGAAATAGCACTGTTCATTCAGAAAGATCGAGAGTGGTACTTCCAGAGATAGTAAAAAGAAATATTTGAAAGGCTAGTGCTACCTCAAAAGATAATCGTATTGTGGCTGCTACTTTGAGAGATTCCTGGGGAGCTTCGACAGACAGACAGAAGCCACTTCGTGATGTTCATTGGGCCCAGGTTTTCTTCGCAGCGAAGGATGCGAGCATGTATGTGGAACCGTGATAGAGCAACCTCTATGGTTTATTATTCGAGTAGTGCATGAACTCACTACATCCAGAGCTTATTCTTTCAGTGCCTATCATTAGTACGGGGGGTTTTGCAATCAAACAAGGGTTTTGAATACATAATAATAGCATCGTTATGGCGAGTGGCAGTGCTGCGAAGCGGGCTCGTGCGAACCCGGACTTGACAGTTCAGGATATACAGAAGCCGATCGAGGACTACATGGATTCGATGCAGTCCCGTCACCTACACAAGTTGGTGGCACCACCAGTGAATGTGAGCTGGAAGTCGGCAGTACCAGTTTCATGGATTGTACGATTGGACCGATTGTACAGTGGGATTCTTGCCAAAGCAACCAACGGTATTTTGCACAAATCGAAAGTCAAGCTTGCTTTGGAGGCCTGCCATGCGAAAAGTTCGATTAATGGTACGAAGCTGGAGGACTCCGCCCTCATCGATTCCGTGTCCGAGAACATCCGTATGGGCCTATCCCATTTGAGGTCATTGAAATGTGACCGTGGACTTCTTGATCGTGCCCACCGCAGGTTCAGCGACAGCGAGATGAGAGTCATCAGCGATTTGGCTTTTAATCGGCGCTTTTCCGTTTCGGGATTCCTATTGCAACCGTTTACTTTTGTTTGGTATACTGAAGAATAAGCCATCCCCGAAAAACGAGGCAAGCTCTTGGCTATGATGAAAGATGTGGTGCCGGCTATGAGCACCCAGAATTCGTTTGGCAGCAGCGGCGGCGAAACAACGAGTGCGGCTGCTGGTGGTACTACTACTACTACTGTTGCTGCTCAGGCCGACGAGTCGCCCCCCACCGAGGAGCCAGAGACGGATAATCCGATGCAGATGCTGGACCAGATTTTGGGTGCCCATCCGATTCGGTCGTCTTCTGAGGAGCACGACGAGGACGAGAAGAATGCAGACGATGATGCGAGCTCCGATGGCTTCGTGGTGCCAGGGCTCAGGATTTTTGGTGGTGCTACTAAGGGGCGGGGTAGCGAGCACAGGGTGCTGAGAGAGGCGTCTTCGGCGGAAGCTGCCTCATCAACTGCTGCAGGCCCAACTATCCAGGAGATTTTTGAGGAGGAGCCGGCAGCCGAGAAGACCGAGAAGAAGAAGGCGAAGATGAAGAAGAACACCGTGGACAAGCAGGTGTGGGTTTCGGGCTGGAAATAACAATAATACCCGAACAAGACCCTAGAGGATGATGACGATGATGATGACGATGATTTTTTATTGTGGTTGTTCGTGCTCCTTTTCGTCGTGGTAAAGCTTCGAGTCATCCCTGCAAAAAAACAATTCCTAGAGTGCACAGATGCCAAGAGCGAATACAAAGTCGCGAGTTGTTGCATGGTAGTACCACGAGGGATGCTACGATGGTGTATCCTTTCTTGCTTTCGTGCCTCGAGTGTATAAGAATAGAAACCGATGGTCCATCGGAGCCAAATACAACAAGCCTTACTTCTTTTGCAAATATTATTTGGAGAAGGCTGGGGCCAACGAGCGAACAGGGACCAAGAAGTCGACTCCATCGTCGGCTTCGGCGGCCAAGAACAAGAAGCCTGTGCTCATGGATGCCTCTGAGGAGGATTTGCTTCGACGGATTCGAAGCAAGACGAGGCCCGCCAATGAGGATGAGAAGGCTACTTTGAGGAAGACCTACAACCAAGCCGTGAAGAAGAAGCCGAGTGCAAAAGAAACCAAGGGTTCAAGCGAGAAGCCGACGAAGGCCAAGAAAGGCAAGCATCCCGACGAGCCGAAGGAGGCACCGAAAAAAAGGCCGGCTGGCATCCTGAAGAGGGGCAAGAGCACTATTTTCGATGATGGGACATTGGCGGGCAACAAGCCAAAACAGCCGATGAAGAAGCAGCGACAGATCGCGGAGGACAGCAGCGGGGTTCTTTGAGCTGAGTTTCAGAGTCATGTTTGTTTTGCTGCGGAATCCACTACTCAAGTTGAGTATTTGAGAAACAATATGAAAAGCCACAACCTCGACTATCTTCATATCTAAAACCCAGAAGCTTGTATCTGTATTTCTAGGACCGCAACAGCATTCCTGATTGGGTTTTGCACTTTCTTGCATGTTCGGCAACAACAACAACAACGACATACCTCCAAAAAGATAACCCCCTAAACCCCTAAACCCTTAGTCTTTTCCTACATCATCATCCACATTATTATAGACTGAAGCCCCATTCTTGTTTAACATAGAAAATTCGTGCAAGGCTGTGGATGATCAGCAGGCAAACGATGAGCAGGCTTCCCATGGCAGCCACGAGTGGTGGTGGTGGGACGAGTCCTGGTGCGAGGAGTCTCCCGAGGAGGAGGCCGATGGCTTCGAGGATGACCCCATCCTGGAGGAGGATGGTCGTGCCAACGATGAATACGAGGACGAGGAGAAGAAGGACGGCAAGGGCGAGAGGAATGATGGGGTGGAGCAGCCATCACGATCTGTGCTGCGACACCGGGCCGTGACAAGTGCATACAGAAAGGCCTTCGATGTGCACAAGCCGAAAGGCGACCAAAAGAATGATCCCACATTGCTGGCGGCAGCTCGTGGGAAAGCCAAAGAAGCCCATCACGAGGCAGGGAAATGCTTCGATGCAAAGTACCCGAGGAAGTGAGACGAGCACCTGGGGATGAACCCTGGTGGCAGCAACCTCCTGCTGTGGACGATATCGGATGATTTTGGTGGCGGCTTATCACGATTCAACAGTGACCGGTCGTCGCACCACATCCGAGTTTTGATGGCTGACGACAACCACCAGAAGCCCAAAATAGCTATGTGCGATTGAGGGTCTGCTTGAGTGATCAGACATTTAGGAGGTCGGAAACATACATGTCGCAGCTCGAGAGCTTTGGTTTTCGATCATGATCAGCCAGCCAAACATCGAAGTTTGGTCGAAGTTTCGTCGAAACTTCGACTTAGCACAAGCCGCAGTTTGGTCGAAGTTTGGCCGCTGTTTGGTCGCAGTTTAAGTTGTGTAAGTCGAAGTTTCGACTTATCTTTGCACACTTACTCGAGAGGTAACACTATTGATATATCAAAACTTCGACTTAGCCTATCTAAAACTTCGACTTAAACTTCGACTTAGTAAGTCGAAGTTTCGACGAAACTTCGACCAAACTTCGATATACGGTGGTCGTACGGGGTCGAAGTTTCGAAGAAGTTTCGAGTAAAGTTCGGTGTGCCAAATCGGAGTTTCAGCGAAGTTTGTGCAGTGATGATTGTATATGGATGACAATAATGGATGACTTGCCGCCTTCTCCTGCCATCGAAGCTTTTTGAGAGTTGCGACAGGCTTCTTATTGACTCCCATCCTTGTTCGGCTCCTCCTCTCCTGCTGCACAACAACAATGATGAAGCGACCCTCGGCTGCTGTTGTTATGAAGAAGAGCAAGAAGATTTTCATCAAGAAGAACAGCAAGCCCGGCAAGAGTGGTGGCCCAGTCATCAAGAAGAAGCCCGGTGCCGGGCCCACGACATTGAAGGATGCCGTCGAGGGCATCAAGAAGTCGTCCATGGACAAGGACAACATGTGGGACGACCAGTCGGCCGAAGAGGACAACGGTGCGGGCTCATCCACGGACTCGAAGAGAGACAAAGGGAAAGCGGAAAAATTCACGAAGATGAGGTTGGCAGGGAGTTTACCACCATATGCGGTTGACTTGTATGATAATGCTGCCAACCAGAAAGAGTCCCCTCGCCAATTCCGCACGGAGATTATCAACACCTTGTTCAAGAGGAACCCCAAGACCGGGCGGTACAGCTTGATTGACGACCAGCCGTTATTCACCGAGGCGAAACGAGTTTGGGAGAAAAAGTTCGGCACCGATGGCAAGGAGAGCTACACCAAGCTCGTCATGCGAGGACTTTTCTTCGGAAACTCGGAGTCAGTGCCATGTCTCAACAAAGCAATGTTTTTTCTTTTGTTAAAATACACTCGGGGACTACACCCACTAAGGTTTTAGAACTGTATTATTCGCGAAAAGAAACCTGAGCCCTAAACCTTACATCCTTAAACAACCTCGAGCCGAAACCGCTCTGCTTCTGCTACATTCCTATTACACCCACTAAGGTTTCAGAACTGTATTATTCGCGAAAAGAAACCTGAGCCCTAAACCTTATATCCTTAAACAACCTCGAGCCGAAAGCACTCTGCTTCTGCTACATTACTAATACACCCACAAAGGTACTAAAGCTGTATTATTCGCGAAAAGAAACCTAAGCCTTAAACCTTACATCCTTTAACAACCTCGAGCCGAAACCGCTCTGCTTCTGCTACATTCCTAATACACCCACTAAGTTTTAGAACTGTATTATTCGCGAAAAGAAACCTGAGCCCTAAACCTTACATCCTTAAACAACCTCGAGCCGAAAGCATTCTGCTTCTGCTACATTACTAATACACCCACAAAGGTACTAAAGCTGTATTATTCGCGAAAAGAAACCTAAGCCCTAAACCTTACATCCTTTAACAACCTCGAGCCGAAACCGCTCTGCTTCTGCTACATTCCTAATACACCCACTAAGTTTTTAGAACTGTATTATTCGCGAAAAGAAACCTGAGCCCTAAACCTTACATCCTTAAACAACCTCGAGCCGAAAGCATTCTGCTTCTGCTACATTACTAATACACCCACAAAGGTACTAAAGCTGTATTATTCCCCAAAAGAAACCTGAGCCCTAAACCTTACATCCTTTAACAACCTCGAGCCGAAAGCATTCTGCTTCTGCTCCATTTGTCGTCATAACAATAATAACAACACCGCAACGATGATGCTAGCCTTAATAAACGAAAACAACCCTTAAACCTTGTTATTCCACTCTTTCTTTATCCCCGAACCAACAACAGCCCTGAAAACTGCAACACCTGAAAAAACTATCCCTGTGCTGCTGGTGCTGGTCGTTGCTACTGTGGTTGTTGTTGTGATCGCTGTTGCTGCTGTTGTTTGTTGCTGCAGCTGAGGCTATGAATGCAGCAATTGAGGCTGGAGAGGTCACCGAGTTCAAGTCCAAGGACGGAACGTGTTTCTACTCATTCCGCAAAATGACAGCTGGTGTTGAAACCGGACAAGAGAGCAGCCTGGGCTACACGAAGCAGGCCAAGGGCACCCAGCAGCAAGCGGACATGCTGGAGGCAATGTTCGACAAGCTCGATTGGAGCATGCCCTACAAGGGTACCGATGCCCTGGTGGTTGAGCCTGGCAAGAAGCTGCCGAAGCCCATGGCGGCCTTCTTGGAGAAGGCGGTGGCCACACAGATCCGCTTGGGTGGCGAGACCATGAGGCTCTTGAAGAAGCTACCCGACATCTTTTGTATAACATGATGTTTGATGTTTACAACACCGCAGGGAAGAATCGTGAACTGTCCCGTGTCGTAGGATAGACAAAAGGGGGTCTTGTTTGCTGATTGCCATGCACAATCCAGGCATGTTCTTATCTTCTTGGTCAGAACTACATCACAACCCCTCACTCAAAAGTATCTCTCAAAGTAGCCCTCCAAGTGTCGCTGAGTTCTCGAAACACTTCATCGAAGTTACCCAGGTCTCGTTCAAAGTAGCCCTCCAGGAAACTACTCCACATATCATCCCGCCGTTTCGCTGCCGTCACAACCCATCATCCATCATCACTCCAAGTATCCCTCCAGGCATCCCTCCAAGAAAAGGGTTTTAGGGTTTTGTTTGGGGTGTATTGGAGGTTTTAGGTTTCGGTGTTTTGAGGTTTGTGGGTTTAGCCCTATTACTAATAAAGCTCGCGACAATCTTCCAAATTATGCTTGACTGAGGCTTCCTCAGGAGTCGTCGGACGTGTATGACAAGCTCAAGAAGGCCTACGTTGAGAGCCAGAAGATGCTCGGCGAATGCCGCCATATCCTGGCCTGGAAGGAGATGCCTGATTCGCAACCTGTTTCAAAAGACAATTTCGACAAGTTCATGACATTTGTCGCCAAGCAGACGTTGGCCCACCACGAGTTGCTCGCAAACGGCAAAGCCGTTGTCAAGGCCACAAAGTGAGATCGCGATCTTCGTATGTCGAGCCGTGTCGTGGATGATTCTCTGGAGTGCTGGCTACTTCCGGCTTGTTTTCAAAGCCTTACACAGGACTTATAATGGGTTTAGATTTATTGGGTCGGGGCTCCTGGGGCAACCAATTATTATTTGACAGCTAGCTGCACAAGGGGGGGGGTCGTCCATGACGATTTTGGGCTTTCTCTGATCTCGCACTCGTGCTTTCGTGAGTTGGACAAAAAAAAGCGCGAACAGAGACAGTGCCGAAGCTTATTATGGCGAAAACTTCACCAACAACTACTATATAAGAAGCTTTCTATATATTCATATTCAGAGAGGGGTTCTTGAGTGCAGGATTAGTATTATGATTGGAATAGCTATCATAATATTCGTGTCAGGCATAAAATTACACTATCCAGAAGAAGAATGCAAACAAAGAGGGATTCCTGGAGTGTATAAACATAATAATCAGAACGAGAATCAGAGGTAGTATCATAAATATGCGAGGATGATCCTTCTCAGTGCAATTCCGAAGATGCCCTTTGCCGATGCTCAGGCTTTGTTGACGACACTAATAAAGTAGCCATAAAAAAAAGTTCACCGACAAAACCCTATCCCGAAATGAACAGGCATCAACAAAGATCCCCGACGAGACCCCATCCCCAGCGACCTTGATGTCGAGTGATACTGTTATTTATTGCAGCAGTTATTGGTCCTATTATTCGATAAAACATGCGACTACTATCTGCTACGACTATATACAGCACAAATGAGATTACTACGTGCCACGAAAATGTCCTAGGACCGGCAGGTGGTGTGTAGGAGTGATGGCTGGCAGGGGTTTTTCTGGTCACCAGAAGAAGAGGCATTCATCCCCGGCAGCAGCATCGTCAGGAGGAGCGAAAAGACTCCGAGGTGGTATTCTGTTAAAGAACGGGCTTCACTAAGCTTCCTACTCACAAACTGAAGCGGTCACTTTTCCTTTGTGGGTCACTGTGTCCGCTGGTCTCGAGCCTAGCACGTCGCGTGTGCGTGACGGCTGTTCCTGTACATTAACTGCACTGCACTAACTGTGTTACTGTTCCTGGCAAGATGTTTAACACCCCGCCTTCGGAGTTAGCGAAAGTTCCTCGACTGAGGTGACTCCGACTTTTCCTGTCAACAGTAAACACACTGCAGTTCCTTTTCACTTGCAAAACAAACACTCTGCCTCATCGCAAACATATGTTCCTATGTTCACTCGCAATCCTCTCCAAGGTTGCTCGACTGTACAAAAGACGTTCCTTTACTATACTTAGATCACCACAGAAACAAAAAGGGCTGTGCCACGGTTCCTGTGTCCTGCTTCTTCTTTCCTCGGCTCTCTGGCCTCAGTACTGCTCGCTGTTCCTTTGCTTCACTGGAAGGTCACTTCGCCGTCGTCGACCTTGTAGACTTTTGCTCCTTCTTCTTCGTTGGTGACTTCTTTCTGTTCCTTGAGTTCTTGCTCTAGCCACTCTGCACGCTGCCTTGCTTGCGACATGCACTTCTCTTTTCCTTGCTTGTCTCTTGATCCTGCTTTCCAACCTGTTTCCTTTGATCCGGAATACCAGTACCACTGCGTCTTGACTTCGTTCCACTTCCACTGGTAGTTCCTGTTCTGGAAACCGTAGACTGCAAACCAGTTTCCTTCAACTCTCCTTTTCCTTTGCCCTTCATGAACGATTCTTCGTTCACTGGTCCTTTGGCGGAAAGTTCTGGGTCGTCCTTTCCTCCTTTCCTTTGCTGTTGCTGTGTGACACTTGGTGGCTCCTTTCCTGTTCCTTTTCCTTCTGGCTTCTCCTCTTCCTTTGCTGGTGTTGCTGGTGTTGTGTCTGGTTCCGTGGGTGCTTGCGACCCGGCTGCTGATCCTCTGCTCTCAAGCTCCTGTGTAAGGCTTGCAATTCTTTCTTTATCCTCTTTGCGTTCCTTCATCATCTCCTTCATCATTTCTTCAAGCTTCTGGATCCTGTCTGCTTCTCCTGATCCTGTTGCTGTTGATGCTGCTGCCTTCTTTTCTGCTTCCTTCTTGGCAATGTACGCTGACGCTGCCTTTTGGTCTTCCTCTCTTTTCTTCCTGGCTTCCTTCTCCTTTCTTTTCTTCTCCTGTTCCTTTCTTTCCTTTTCCTCTTTGGCTGCTGCGGCTGCTGCTTCTGTCTCCTCCTTTTCCTTTGCCTCTCTCTCTGCTTTTGCTTTGGCTGCCGCTTCTACCTCTCGCCTTCTCTCGGCGGCTGCTGCGGCTTCTGCTTTTGCCTGCTCTCTGTCTCGCTTTTCCTGCTCTTCTGCTGCTTCTTCCAAAATCCTTCTTGCTTTGGCAATCTGCTCCTCCTTTGCCTTCTTCTCCTCTTCTGCTTTGGCTTTCGCTTCCTTCTGCTCCTTTGAGATCTTGTCCTGTTCGTTCCAATATTTGCGATCATCTTCATTTCGAGGTCGAAATCCTGAGCTTTCTGCTCTTGCCTTTGGCTTTCCTTTTCCTTTTCCTTCCTTCTTTCCTTTTGTTCCCTTCTCGTGCTTGTACGTGTAGTCCTTGTCGATGTGGATCTTTTCTCCTGTGACTCTGTGTTGCTTGTAGATCTCGCCGTTCTCGGAGTATTCCTTCCATTCGCTGCTGTAGTCGTAGGGGTACGGAAACTGCTTCTTTTCCTCTTCTTTCTCCTTTAGCCTTTGCTTGCTTCTGGCGTTGATCTCCGCGATCTTCTTCTTCCTTCTTTCTTCCTTTGCTTCCTCGCTTTCTTCTTCCTCTGCTGCTGCTGTTCCTTCTTCTGCTTTGGCTTCTTCGGGGTACTCCCCGGGATCTTCTCCTCCAACGTAGCTGTCCACGTAGGCCTCGTTCTCGTTCTCGTCGAAGTAGTCCTGGCTTTCTTCCTGTTCCTGGAGTCTGTCGAAGTAGCTCCTGTCTGACCAGTTCCTTATATCGTCTTCTCCTTTGTGTTCCTGGGAGGTAGGTGACGTAACTCTCGAAGGTGCTGTTCCTTGTCCGTGTCCTTCACGACGTAGTTCACCTTCTAGTTCTCGGTCCTTGGCTTCTCTTTTCCTTTGTTCCTCTTCGTCTTCTTCTTCTTCTTGCTGCTGTTCGTAGAAGTCCTGCATCATCTGGTTCAGCTGTTCCTTCACGGAATCACATGTACCTAGGACGAAGTTCATGTGTTCCTTGACCTGCTTCCGGTCTCTTTCGTTCTCTTCGGCCATTTCCTGAACCTGGTGCTTCACGCTGTAGATCTGGGATGTCAAACTTTCCACACATCCCGCAACGTGTTCCTGACTTTTGCGCAAACGCGCAGCTTCCTCTGTGTTCTTCCTGATCGACTCCGCGATCAAGTTCCTTTCTTCTGTAGCAGTCTTCAACGTGACTGCCGCTTCCTTCAAGGTCTGAAGTTCCTTGACGATCTCTTCTGAGCTTTTGCTTGAACTCGCGCTCGCTTCCATGGCTGCTGAGGTTCCTGGTAAGGTGCCTTGACCTGCTACTGGGCGTACTAGTTCCTGGATACCTGAGCGTTCTGCGAGTGTTCCGCAGAGTTCCTTGAGCTGCGAAAGCATCTCACTACATGTTGTTCCATGCGCTGTTCCTGCAAACGTTCCTAGCTCACATGCACTCGTGTCACTGCATATGCCGTCCTGCTCGCATGCACTTGCACAACAGAAAACATGTTCCTGAAAATCTGCCTGAAACTCTTCTTCTTGAACACAACTCTCAAAACACTGTTCCTTGAAACTCTGAATCTGAAGACTGTCCGAAATACCTGAAATTCCTGCAAACAACAAAGCTGCAAAAGACAAAGTTCCTGGGCTCTTGATCATCCTTACAACTGCTTTAGCTTGTGTTTGGGCCTTGTGTTCCTTGAGCTCTTCTCTACCTACTGGTTCGTTCTCGCTGGTCTGAAAACCTAGCCAGTGTAACAACAGTCTGATACGCTTCGCTGAAAGGGGCTTGGTTCCTATATCAGCTGTGTTTTCCTTGGTTCCTACTGGGTGAACACTAATTGTTCCTTCTTTGTGGAGGTCTTGGAGAAAAAGGGTCCTGATCTGCAAATGCTTGACTCTACCTACACCTTGCCTTGTAATAATTCCTCTAGCTGCAGAAGAATCCATATACAAGTGTACCTTGCATTGTTTCCTGGTCAAGAATTCCACTGCTTCCTTCAACAAGATAGAATCTGACGCTGCTGACGCTCCTGCGTAGTACTCTGCTTCACCACTGCTCAAGCTAACCGACTTCTGGTTCCTAGAAAAAGAGTAAATGCACTGACCGTCTAAGCAAACAATTCCTGAAGATGTTGAGCGCCTTGTGTCCTTCTTTCCTGCCCAATCTGAATCACTGAAGACTTCCAAAAGGTGGTGTTCCTTGGGCCTTGTTCCTGTAAAGTCGTAGTTACCATTCCTAATGGATTCATTGAGATTACTGAGTCCTCTGGGTGTCTTCCTGTACACTAGATGGTATCCTTCAGTTCTCGACATGTACTGCACTAGGTGGACTAAGTGCTTCCAAGAACCATGTGTTGGTTCCGACATCTTGGAGGCTAAACCTCTCACGGCAAACTGCACGTCAGGGCGGTCCTGACTGACATACAAGAGTATGCCAACGCTCTTCCTGAACGATGCTGCTTGTTCCTGGTTCAAGGTCTGAGTGTTGTCCTGTTCCTGCGACTCTTGGGTGCACGGAGTTGGCTTTGAGGCTTTGCTGGTAAGCTTCAGTTCTTCCTTAAGCTTCACAAGATACTTCGGGTCACTCGTGATGTGGAGCTCGTGATTGTGGTAGCTGAATTTCCTTTTAAGGAATCGGATTGTCTGGTGTGACTCTCCTACTTCAAGTTCCTGCTCTGTCAAGAAGGGGCCTTCAACCTTTAGCTCGTAGGTTTCTCCTAGCTTTCCTAGCTTGGGCTCTAGGTGCCTTGTTTTCCCTGCTGCCTGAATGTCATCTACATGCACAACAAGTATGCTGTTCCTGTCGTCACGAAACAAAGTAGGGCAAGCTTTGCTCCTATCAAAGT